ATTGTTCAAGATTCAGAGTCGTAAGTTAGCACAGGAAAGATGTAACACCCTAATAGCTTTAATTTTGTTGATATTCTGATTTTACTGTTGGTGAGGATGTTTTTCATTTTAGAATATGCATCTTTCGCCATATGTATATAAAATATTTTTTACAGCTATATTTTTTACAGATTATGCCAAAATTATATACCATAAAATAGCAGTTTTTTTCCTAAATGTATATTCGAGACATTGTCAAATGTCAATCACCTCATTGACTGGAATCTTTGTTTAAATAAGACGCAGTATATTAGCTTAGGAAATGTATGTTTTCGCACAAAACTGCAAACATATAGTGCATTTTTCTCACAAATTAGTGATTATTTTTTAATAATTCGGTATGAAAAGATTTGTATTAGTATATCCTGACTTAGCTTAGTTTAGTTTTGAAGTGCAACAAACTTTATTTTGACGGCACATCTCTGAATATTTTGTAAAGAAGTGAACACACATTTCAATCCGGAAAATCCCCAATACACGACACGTGATTATGAATAAGATGTTTCAAAGAACGTGACCTATATAGAACTCGCGTTCTCATTGGCCAATCGTCAAAGTTGACATAATTAAAAAATTCAAGCTACAGCCAATGAAATCTCTCTAACATAACGTAATATATTTAAATAGCAGCCACATCCGTTGACGTGTCGTTCCGTTCTAAAAATAAAGCAGCTTCAAATAATCAGCCAATAGGATCGAAGATGATTGCATCATATTTAAAATTAGAAACATCCGAGTATATAAGGAAAGCAGATTCATTTTGAAGCATTACTCAGTAACCATATTCACTGCGAATTTTTGGTTATTCATTTGAAACGAATTTTAATATATTAAAATAATTTTTTTAAGTTTAAGATTAAATCTCTCATTTAAAAAATTAATAAATGGAAACGACATTTTACGACGATAACAACCTAAGTGTCAAGAAGATGAAGACGAATATGACATTAGATTTCAACAAGATGAAGCAGCAGACGTCCGATCTGTTACAAACTCCAGACGTGGGAGGCCTTCTAATGATGAACACGCCTGAATTAGAAAGACTTTTGGCCTACAACAACTTCAACACCGTGATGACCACGCCAACCCCGACCGGTCAAATTCTCTTTCCGAAAATGGTCACTGAAGAACAAGAGGCCTATGCTAGAGGCTTCATCGATGCTCTCGGCGAGCTACACAAAAAGTCGCAAGTGGAGTCTCTGCCGTCGTCTACCACGCAAACGCCACTGCGTCCACAAACACAGCAACATCTACAACCGGCAGTTCGAGATGTGAAAGTTGTTCCGCAACAACAACAACAGCCTCAAGTCATAAAAACTAACGTAGTAGAACAGCAACAACTCAGGGCCACTCCGCCGTCGACGTTGGCCGCTGTTACCTCGGCCACTTCAACGTCTGCGCCATATTTGCCAACCACCATCACTGACATGATTTGTTACAACAATTTTGCTGATTTCAATATTAGTGAAATGAGCAACGTTGATTTAATGCAGAATAATCCTTTACTCCAACCTTTAAAACCTTTAGTGGACGTAAAGACCACCGCTACTACTAACAACGTCAACACTAATTCGAAAGTATATTTCAACGCTTCAGCATCGCCACCTCAGCTAATCGAAAACTACCAAACGGTGCCGCACCTGCCAACCAACTATTCGATTAAAAACACCCACAGCCCGGGCTCATCAACTTCAACATCTTCAGCTCACCATAAACCGCCCACACAGTCCCAACTACAGCAGCAGCAGCAATGCAGTAACTCTATCTCGCCCATTGACATGAACATGCAAGAATTGGCCAAACTAGAAAGAAAGAGAGAGCGTAACAGACACGCTGCCACTCTCTGTAGGAATAGGAAATTAGAGAGAATCGCCAGATTAGAAGACAGAGTGAAAGAACTGAAAGATCAAAACATGACTCTTGCTCAGACAGCGAATTTGTTGAGAAGTCAGGTGTCTGAACTGAAACAGGCCATATTTGAACATACACAGATGGGTTGTCAAGTCATGCTTACGTCGAAGTTTCTTGATTCCGACGTCATGTTCAGCTGATTTGCTTGTCCACTTGTTTATTGGAATGCAGAATTTCTTTACGTCTGTCTGCGTGTCTATCTGTCGGTCTTGTTTTTATTTTTTTATATTTGCAAAGACAGTAGCAAATTGTTGTCAATTTATTGTAGATTTGTAACTAACTGATTAATTAAAAAATTGATCAACCATACAATTCCCCAGCTTAGTTTTTATTTTATATAATTTTTCATCTATTTTTGAAAATTTTTTCACGTTTATTTGTGAATAAACTAATCTCATAATTTGCCTAATAATTAATATTTTATTTATTTGTTTATTATTATATTTATTTATTTATATTTTAAAATTTGTTATTTATTTTAGTTAGGACCGTTATTTTACGTTTCGTTTGTTTCACCCGTTGTCTGCTTTTCGTTTTGTTGTTTTCACGAGATATTTATTGAACAACAATAAAACGAGTGTTTCCACATTGATAACATTGAGTTTCCTAAGCTTCTATATATTTTTGTTATTTCTAAAATACATACAGAAACATACTTACACACACACATACAAATAATCGTGTTTTTTGTTTTGTATGCAAAACCGGTTTTGCCTTATTTTTGCAATAAAAATGTTTAAAACCTGATAAATTTAGCGTTAAATTCTTATAAAAGTGAATAGATTTAGTAGATGGGAAAAAACAGTATATACGATATTTTTAATTATGTATAAGGTATTAAAAAAAGGACGGTAAACTTTAAAAAATACTTTATTACATAAAAAATTTAATATTTCATTTCAAAGTTTTATTTATAATCAACAACATATCAAATAGGTGAATAAAAGTTATGAAGTTGAATATGCGGAGACCGAATAAGACTGTTTGTCTTGTGGTGGCCACCGCTGGTAGATACATGAATAGTTAATGAAATAAAATAAGGAAAATAACTGAAGCAGAAAGATAATTGAAGATAATATATTTGATAGTATTGTTATTGTAATAAATAAATAAATAAAATTAATAATATCATTATCATTTTATGAAATTTTTTCCAGATAGGATGTCATTATGATGATAACGTTGTTATTGGGCAACTTTTCCTCAGAATGCTTTATTTAATATTTTCCACAATTCGATATAATATTTCCGAATAATTTGATATAATTATTTTAATTATAATAATTAAAACTATCATTTATTTATTTCATAATTGTTTTGGAATTTTCTTGATTGCATTAAACGTACTTATGTGTATTTTTGTATTGTATTGTACGTTACTGTATTGTATTGCATTGTATGATAATGTACACTGTTGCACTTGTATCGTATTGTATTCTATTGTATTCCATTGTATTTTATTGTAAGTACCAAATTCAGGTCCTCGCTGTTTTTAAACAAGTTGCTACTGAAACAAACACGTATCAGTTGTAAATGTCAATTAGAGTTTTCATTTATTGTTTTTTTTTGTTGAATCCATAAGTAAGTTTATCCAGTTTTACACGAATTTCTCTACCTCCTTCTCTGACTACAATCCATCACTTGAGAAGTTCAGAGCGGATCTCAGGAGCCACCTGCTTGTTAGCAATATTAACCGAGGAGCGCTGTTGAACATTGCGGAAATAGCTCTTTAAAAAATAACTGATTGATTGATTAATTGATTGATTGTTTGTTTGATTGATTGACTGATTGATTGATTTGTGATTTTTGTTGAGCAAAACCACTGAACATGAACGTTGGTCTGAAAATTGTCTTGTTATTATAGTAATGATATTTAAACAAACTATCTCACAGGCTTCCTTCCTTCCAAACTTCACACTCAAAACTATCATAAAATCGCAAATTACGTTAGCTTTTTATTCTTTGTGAAGGCGGGCTACTGCAGATTAAGTGCCGCCCAAATGTGGATGTTGCGGACTTAGGCGGTTGCAGATTTAGGCGGTTGCTGATGTGAATGTCGCGGTTGATCATTTAAATTCAATAAAATGTGCAAACTTCGAATAAGACAATGTATCAGATAACAGCCAATATGTCACTCGAGTTTTGTAAATCAAACTTTTAGGCCATCAAAATGAACAGTTCATCCTATATCACTGTCTAATTCTCTCAGAACTCAGTTCCCAAGGTAAAATATATCGTATTAATATTACATATTTTTATATCTTTGAAGCCTGCATTTTTTCAGGAAGCTTCTTGCCTGTTAAACGTCTGCACTTCACATGAAACACTTTCGCTTTTCTTCATCATTAATATCATTTTGTACGTTTATACATCAAGGTACGTCATCGGGTTCGGCTTCTTGACTTCCTTAGATTGCGTTGGCTTACCTATTAAATTGCATGGGTTTTAACAAACAGCTATATAAAATATTTACTTATTAGGATTGAACTATAGTCACTCTTTTTTGCATATATTCGGTACTATGAGATAATGTTTGACACTGTACTATCAATTAACTATAGTCAATCAATCAACCAAACACACAATCAATAAATTCTAACGTTCAATCAGCCACACATTCAACTAACCATTTATTAATCAATCAATCAAACAACCAGCCAACTGCTCAATCAATCATTTATTCAACCAACCAATCGACTAATCAATCTATCAACTTAAGATACCGTTTGATGTTGTACAATCAGTTAACCAGTTAATCAACAAATTAACCAACCCAGCCGTTAATCCTTTCGAAGCTGGTAAATCGGTAGACGACGTAAGTTGTCGCGTGTTGGCCGGCGAGATGGCTAGTAAAATTTGCGTTAACGATAGCAATGATAAATAGTATCATAGATACAAAGTAATGATACCGTAAATGATGACAACTGTATCTTAGATACAACAAAATGAACGAAATGCAACTGATTATAAATGAGAATAATGATAATAATAATCATGAGGTGGGTAGAGAATAATGTTGATAAGTTATGTAATATAACTCGAAGAAGATGACGATTTAAAGGAAATGGCCTGTTGTAATAATAATAATGAAAAATAATAATAATAAATAATAATAATAAAGATAACGACGATGATTGTAGTCGGATGTATGATATTAATTTAAGAAGAAGATGATGATGATGATGGTGATGATGATAGTGTAAGGAAGTATTATGATGATGATGATAGTTTAAGAAAGTATGATGATGATGATTGTGTAAGAAAGTAATGATGATGATGATGATTGATTCGTTCATTTTTCAAACGTTTATTTCATTCATCTATTTTTCACTCATTTATCTTTTCATTCAACTTTATAAACACTTTCTTCAACTAAATATTAATATTTATTCCTCTAATTATCCATCCATCCATCTAACCATCATTCATTCATTCATCCATCCATTTATTTATTCACATCTTACATCCATATTTTAATAATAATAATAATTCTTCCTTGCCTTTTTTTAAAATGATTCATATGTTATGTTATATACGAACTATTTCTTATATATATATATATATAGAGAGAGAGAGCATAACACATTCTCTCTATATATATATAGAACACAAGCATATATATATATTATATATATATATATATACATATATATATATATATACAAATCAATCATTCCTAACATTATTATTCAGAACGAGAATGAATTCACCGCAATTAGTAAAATTATAATTATAATTATTGCTATTATAATTATTATTATTATTAATATTATTATTGATAATTCTCTTATTATATATATATATATATATATATATATAAAGCTTTCCAGCATTTAGTTTAAGTAGTCAAAAAAAAATTAACATCGTGTTGAGTGTATGGCATTTAGATAATGGTAATAATTAATAATAATATCAATATTAAATTAAAAAAAATTAATAATAATAATACTAATATTATTATTTTTATATTTTGTAATAAACTACTTTTGAGTTATTTTCTATATTATTTAATATTGAAATAATTTGATATATATATATATTTATTTATTTATATTTGTTTAAAACTACTTAATATTTACCTATTTAAATATTCTCTTAAAAAATGAGTGATAAAAATCCTGACAACAAAAACCCGGATCGTAGAAAAAGAAAGATGGCGATGGATGATGATGGGGATGAAAATAAAACAGAAATTAAGCAGGCAAAATCAAACATTCCCACAGATGGTTTTGAGGACAACGATGTTTTCCAGGAGGTTTTCGATCGGTATTTTGATGATGTCGAGTTGCAGACAGATGAAACAATTTCACCGCAACAACAACAGCAGCAGCCACAACAACAACAACAGTAGCCACAACATCAACAGCAGCCACAACAACAACAGCAGCAGCAGCCACAACAACAAAGTCCTCTAGCATCAGAAGATCCCACAATTAGTGAAAGAAAAGCAAGCGATCGTAGCAGAAAAGGTCTAGCTACGGATGATATTAGAGTAGAGGAAGAAAAGAAAAAAACAACATCCCATAAAACATCTCAACAACAGTTTGATACAGCTTTACAAAATTTATCCCCAGAACACTTAAACACTCCCCAACTAACAGCTTCTGTAACGTTGGACGATCTTTCTTCTTTTCCTTTTTCAAGCGGATCAGAAGACAGCCAAATTAGAGCTGCACTTTGCGGTCTTTCATATCTCGACGACCAAGTTACAAGCGAAGAATTGCTCAACATCGACCCAGCAACGTTATTATTAACTAATCCTAGTTCAAGTTCACCAAATAAAAACTCCGACCCTTCCCCATTACTCTCAAACTAGGCACAAGCAGTCACACTCGAGCCAGATGAACTTGGGAATGCTTGCTTGCCTGGTTGCTCTTATCAGAGCACTTTTGGGGGTAATTCACCGAGTGAGTTATTTTCTAACCATTTTTTATTGCCCTGCTTGAGTGAGATTTCTGGAACTGCAACCACAACGCAAGCCACATCAACAGCTACTACACAAGCTACATTAACAGCTACTACACAAGCCACATCAACAAAAACCACAGGAACCAAAATCTCTGGTACAGCAACAACCACGTTCAACACTGTTGATAATAAAACAACAACTGCAGCGGCAACAAAAGCAACAACAACAGGCCTAACGGCATATAACTCAACAATAATTAACACGATTTCAAGTGCAACAGCTGCAACAGTTACAGTGCAGGCAGTTGATAACGCGTTGACAATCCAACACCAGCTAGCTCCACCCCCACAACAACAACATCAGCTAGCCCCACCCCCACAACAACAACATCAGCTAGCACTACCACCACAACAACAGCAACATCAACTAGCACCACAACAACAACAACAACAATTTGTGCCTCAGTACCACCAAATAAACCAACAACAACAACAATTATTACAACAATTTCCACCCGGGTATCAACAACCAACAAACCAACGACAACAGCAGCAACAAAATACGTTTCAACATCCGCAACCATTAACAATTCAAACGGATCAGCTAGTACCTTACCAAGGATCATTCCAACAACAGCAACAACAGCATTCAGCCAGTTCAAGACAACAACAACAACCGTCTCCACAACAGTATACACCTCAACAACAGCAATTACAACCACAGCAACAATTACAACCTCAACACATGCAGTTCCAGCAGCAATTGCCAACATGTTCATTTCTACAAACATTATTGTCACCGTCACAACAACAACTACCACTCAACAAGGGC